TATAGTATGTATATATATATATATATATATGTGTGTGTGTGTGTGTGTGTGTGTGTGTGTATGTATGTATGTATGTATGTATATATACAAGGAAGTGTGTTTTTGTGTGTTTTTATCTCTGTATGTTCTTCTTTGTCTGTGTCCGTAGATTTTGATATACATATTGTTTTTTAACTGGCACGGGACTTACTTGGTAACTCTGGTACCCCTGCTTGGTATATGAAGCAATTGTCAATCGCTGATCCACTAGACGTCATGTATTCTCAACTTGTTCTCAGGTATGAGCGCAGTGATGAGAGTGAGACAGACCACAGCAGGAGTAGTAGCGAAGCCCGAAACAGCAATGCGCATACACCTCCGCAAGCAGGCGCTAGGAAGGGTACTACCAGAGCCCGGGTGAAGGGTAAGAAGGTACGAGGGGGCGGTGGTAAACACTTCAATGTACAACTGCCCAGACAGAGTCTTCGTCGCTTGCTTATGAATGAGCTCGAGCCTGGTACTGTCCATTGGGGACACAGCTTCGTATCGTATCGAGATAACACGGACTCTGCAAATACGTACGCTGGCACAGATAGCTGCAACCACACGGACGAGGGCCATACAAATCGATTGTGTAGTCGACGTGGCGTTGATGTGACCCTCAGTCGTACGATTAACACGGGTAGTGCGGGGAATAGACGGGAAACTGAACTGTTGACTGTCCATGCAGATGTATTGGTGGGGGCGGATGGTATCTGGTCCTTGGTTCGAAAGCAAAAAATGCGCGAGGCCGGCGTATATGGTGGTCAATCACGCGCGACATGTGAGCGTGAAAGTAATCACAACAGGGAGTGCGATGAGGGCTACGCTGAGGTTACATGTATCAATCACGAAGTAAGCACTGAGCATGCCAAAGCACCTGGCAATGTAGCTGCGGAAGCGACCTGTGTGGGAACAAATGGCAGCCTCGATGGTGCGAATAACCACAACGCGGCAGTTAATGAATTGGCTTTATATGGAGAATCGAGTGGCCTCAGCGTGAATACTAGTGCTGCATTGGCTCGATCGCCAGCGCTGCGGTATCTGGGTATGATGGTTATATTAGGCTTTGCGCCCAATCCAAACCATCCGCTTACAGAAAACCAGATATTCCAGACTATGGATGGGTGCACGCGTATCTACACAATGCCTTTCACATCGCCACGTGCAGATACTGAGCTCACAGAATCCACCAGGGACTCTGAAAGTCCTATGATACACCATTGCGACAGCATTCCAAGCGATGGCGTTGGTAGTACGATGAATGCTTGTGTTGGTGAAGCACACTCGCACGTAGATCCAGCAACAATTGAGAACCAAACCATGTGGCAGCTGAGCTTCCCGGTCACCCTGGAGGAGGCAAAGGCTTTACAAGCGCTGGGCGCTGATGGTCTGAAACAGCACGCCATCAAGCTGTGTGAGGGCTGGCATGACCCTGTAGCGCAGATCCTGACAACAACGCGTGCTGCCAATATCACGGGATATCCCGCTTTTGATCGTCCGGCCCCCATCTCCAAATGTGGTCACTCGTCAACGCAAGTCACGCCGCACACGCACCGTGCGACCCCTTCACAGATGGGTGTGAATACACTCAAGTCCAACGGTGGAGATCGGGAACCGCCGGAATTAGATATAGATCCCGCCAAGCACTCGCTGAGTGGTTGTAGCTGTGTCAATGAGTGCCATGGTGGAGTTCCCTGTCCTGGTCGTCTGGAGGGTGTGTGCGCTGTTGATAGGCGCGTAACCTTTGTTGGCGACTCAGCCCACCCCATGAGCCCGTTCAAGGGCCAGGGGGCCAACCAGGCACTACTGGACGGCCTCAACTTGGCGGTGCAGTTGGCGAGTGAGCGATGTGCTGCACCGGCTCACCTGACGGAGGGATGTGGTGACGATAATACGGTCAAGCGGGTGAATGGCGGAGGCCCCAGTGGCCTGGCAACCGGCCCAAGTCAGAGAAAATTTGAGTGTGGTGAAGTGTATCCGCCGATACCTGGTAATACGTGTTTTTTTTATTTGCTGTCGGCGTACGAAGGGGCGATGGTGGAGAGAGTGAGAGCGAAGGTGGAGGGCAGTGCGCTGGCTGCGAGGGTGCTGCACACTCCATTGGCTCTGGCCAAGGGCAATTGTACACGTGTTGGTGCACACGTCAGATGAGGGGACTGGAACTCTATTCTCCGATTAATCGTATAGCAGTATGAGATCGCTCAAAGCGCTATCACCGCCATCACCACACATACCTTGCACCGTTAGGCCTCTCCTTTTCTGGCCATTGCAGTCTAGTGCATCACTCTCAAATTGTTAATGTAATCAGGTAAGACAGCGATCTGCGTTACTAAAACTTGGAGGTTTGTAAATGCGAACGCAAGATCTAAACTGGCAAGTAATGATTTGTAGATATTTCCAAATTAGTCGTTAACTGTTCACTGCACATCGTTAAAAAAACGGCCTTGTGAACCACTATAGCCATCGTCGAAAAATAGACAACTGATAAGCTGTATGCAAGCGTGGCGTATGCACTTGTAATATGTTGATACTTATGAAATCTTAATTTGTGCCAGTTGTATCGCTTGGCAATAACTGAGCGTTCATGGTAATTTAGTTAGCCGACGACTTCTGTATATATTTATATTTATGTGTGTGTGTGTGCGTGTGTGTTTGTATATATATATATGTATAAATATATTTAATATATA